CAGCTGGTTTTCCATTAGAAGATAGGTTCGATGTTCGCTGGAAATTACCATAAATTCAAACATTATTTTCAGAATCCGAATAAATCAGATTTAATGTTATTGAACGAAGATGACTTCATTTTAGCTCGGCTATATATGTACCACTTGTCATCCTCCAAAAAATAAATTTGTATATGCCAGAGAGGGATCTGTAAGTTTTTATTTATTTATTTTCTTTTTCTACTTTCTTTTTTTAGTAAATTTGGTTTTTTTTTCTTACCTACAACCCATCAGCTTATTTTTCTATAAAATAAAACCTAATTTTTATAAGTAAAAGCCGATAAATAGGACCTAATTAGGGATGACATAAATCCTCATCAGGTCGGGTCCCCGAATCCCTAACCCTAACGGGGGGTTATTTCAGGGCAAAAACGGGGATTGGGTATGGGGATCCATTAAGTTTAAAAGTTCCTATCGGGTATGGGTAGGGGATGGTATTGACATTCCCGTCTCCAAACCCGACCCGATAATTATATATTTATTTTCAAATTAATAAATATATAATAGAATTCCCTTAAAATATTTAAGTGGTGAAGGAGGTTTTGAACCCCAACTCCACCTTAAAAACTCACAACCTTACCACCAGTGCATTAGTCAAATATATTTCACTAATGAAGGCTAGCTTGAGGCAAGTGAGGAGAAAAACGTGAAAAGCCTTGGGTAAAGAAGGAAATAAAAAAATAAAAAAAATCTGCTAGGGTGTCTGAGGCAGAGAAAAGCTCTAGCGCCTATGAATTGGATGTAAGATATTTATTCGTCTTAAACCACTTAATGTGGTCTGCTAATCAACATGGAGTATAAGACCTATGCAAAGACTAGGAATTCGAGAATGACTGGTTATGTAGTTCTTGGAACTGTGTTTTTCAGTTTAAATATCCAAGACTAACAAGAGTTCCTAATAAACACCGCCATGTTCTGAGCTTCATCCACCATTAAAAACTGCCTGAAAAACACCATCTTCGAAGCTGAGATAAAATCTCTTTTTCTAAACTTACGAACTCTTAGCTCCCACACCACAAGCCTCAAAAATCAAGATCAATTTTGATCCACTAAAGCAAGCCTCCTATGCCACTAATACCTGAAGGAGTCATTCATCTCTAGGGCATTCCTTAAAATTGACATATCCTTTCGGAATGTTTTGGGGCCTCGTGCCAGAAACTCATAAAAGGGGAACTAGAGCTCTTTACAGCAGTCCACCAGGCCCAGTTCAGCTCTCAACTAAAAAAGCTTCCCACAATATGCAGGGAACCCTATTTTCTGCAAAATCCCAGCTATCTATATTTATTCACTGCTTATTGCAAGATCCCTTCATCATGAACTTTCATTATTTACAGGAAATACAGTAAGGAAATGCTATGTTTATTTATTTATCATAAGCATAGAAAAAGAAGAAAATTAACTCTGAATGAGCCCCACGAATTCCCACATTTCACGGAAAGAAAATGGGTCTTGAGAAGGGGCCATATGAAAACGAATTAATAGAAAAAGAAGAAAACTAACTCTGAATTATATGGAATGATATATTCTGACCTTGAACCATTGCAATTCTCTCTGCATTTGCACCGCTGCCCCTGAGATATTATCGAGCTTTGCCAATGGCGATAACATCGCTGCCATATGTAGCATGTTACTGTTAGAGGTATCTCCAAGATTTCCAATCACATTTCTTTCTGTTTTATCGAGTCTATAAATCAGGCTATAAATCCTTTCTTGACGACATTCAATGGCAAACTGCAAGGGGTTTCTTTGATTTTGATTATTGCTCCACACGAGATCTGGACTTGTTTGGAATATACGATCAATAAACTCGAAAACCCCTAGCTCGACAGCTTGGAAAATGGCTCCACCACATAAATCTTCCATGTCTATACCATCTGAATGTTTTATCACTTCACACATGTGATCTAGAAGTCCAAGGGATTGAGAATGGATCAATTTTATTTCACGTATGCGGTTGATTCCTAGGTTATCATTGAAAAAAAAAAAAAAAAACAAAAACACAAAAACAAAAGTCATTTAAATCCTTCAAGAAAAATTGAATTTTAAAACCATTGATGGAGAAAAGAAAAACGACAAGTGGTAAAGAATGTAGCATACCCAATAGTTCAAGGAGATTCGTGATCAGACCTTGCAATATACGTAGCACTGCAATAGAAGTTCAAAATCCAAAATATGATGGAGAAATATATGCCATAACAAAATGTAAAAAACGAAAGAAAAATTACATATTTTGTTTGAACTAACGCTCACATGAAAAGTTCCCTAATAGGTGCAAGGAATATTTTCATACAGAAACGGATGAGAATATGAGTAGGATCGACTATGAACCAAATATCCAATAATTTAAGAATATTGTGAGAGCATCTCCAAGATCTACACAATTTTTTTTACCTGTACTGGAGCAACATGGCGGTTACCATCATTCCTTTGTTTTTGTTTTTGGGAAAAGCGATATAGTTTATTGATGATGGAGGTAACAAGTACAAAAAAATTGATTGGTCCTTGGCAGATTAGGCAAGCCTCTCTACACATAAGGGTTCGGTCGTTGGATTAACCAAGTAGCCTATATTCTCTTTCGGCATAGACATCAGAGAGAACCTTAATGTCCAAGGGAGATGATCCCTTTTTATTTGCTCTCTTTGCTATGAGCCCCCAAATAAGCTAGCTGGCCTGTGGGCATGTAGGATTTGAACTTTCTTTTTTAACAAATTGACGTACCCAAGTAAATCTAGTGGAGCATAATGTGCCACCCAACCCATCTGTTATGCTCAAATTTTAATTTAAGTAATAGAAATTAGTGTACTATGTAATTTAAACCTAAGAAAATAATATATACTATGTCGATTTGTATCACGACTTGTAAATTTTTGGATCTGCCACAGAAAGTGATACAGAGAATGTAACCCCTGTTTTTCAGGAACACATCAACTGATATGCGTCTAGCGCTTCAAGCGGAAGCTAGTTTTCATCAAAAAAATTCAACTTGTAACCCCTATTTGACATGGTTGATTTTTGTAGGGTCAGAACAACCTTTTTTGGACTTCAATTTTACAATAATTTTAAAAGTTTTAGAACCTAAAGTCTAAGCAATGAATGGTCGACCATCAAGATTTTTCCCTGCCGGCAGCTGCATCTGTTGTGCAAGATGGAAGAAAGTCTTGCTGGGAGCTGGATACTACGGACAATACTCCGCTCCTCATATATACAAGGAGGAAGTCCTCCCTAAATGTAATGTGTGGCCTTGAATATTTTGTGGTACTTAGAAATTAGTTTATAATTTGTAGAGAATGTTTATGGAATTTTAGCTTATTTGGACGTCCTAAGTTGAAAGTACGTGAGATTACGAGTTCATAGCATTTTTCAAGTACATGTGTATTTTTAAGAAATTTTGAACATTGGTCCACTCAGAGGACACGTGGCAGCTGATGGTTGGGTTGTTTGGAAAAGAATAAAAAATTGGAGAAGCGGCGGATAAAAGCCTTAAAGTCGGCTGACTTCTTTCTTCCTCCTTTGAATGGCACTGCTTGTATTTTTTATTTTTTATTTTTTTGAGAAAGATAATTCATTCATATAACCAAAAGGGTACACAGAGTGACATAATATAGTAGTCTCTTTAAAATCTTCCTAGGAAAATCACATGGGACAAACCCCAGAAGAGGGAAGAGTACCACACATGTCATGGACTAATAAGAGAGTCCGATTCAGGTCTTTGGACCATTGCAATAAAGAAACAAAGCAAAAGTGAAACCCAACACAGACGAGAACACAGCAACACATCCCGACTGTCCAAAGAATCCTACTATGAAACCATAGAACTTTGTACAACCACAGAATAGTGAAAGCACTTGACATAGAGCACTCCAAGAGAGACTCCAGTAATGACAGAAGAGGAACCCCACGGAAGCATACTAGCTCAATCCAAAACCCACCAAAGAAAACCAGAAGTCTTCGATTAGCGCTAAAAAGAGATAATATGCATAAGACAACTCAAAAGAAGAAACAAAACATAACGAACATGCCAAGAAAAGAAAAAACTGAAGAAAAAAAAATCCTCAAGAGGCACTCCGTGTCATCGCAACACGGCAAGGAAATCTCCTATGGAAATACCATAGTCCTTTAGGCAGGTGAAGAATCAAAAGGTATGTTGAGAGAGATAACAACATAGAAAAACGTCACGCCACAAGAAAACAAAACTGGCCTCAGCCACTTAACGTGAAACCAGATGTCAGGTATGAATGCATTCACCAGATGCCAAGCCCACTAATGCTCCATATAAACATTAAGGAAGGCTCTCAGGATACCCCACTAAACCAGTCTCCAAATGCTTATAAGAACATGCAGCATTGCAGGGACGCTTAGGATCCACGAAGTCTACCCTAAGAACCAAGACATCACTATCAAAGGACCCCACAACTGTATCTTATGCTTAACTCTCATTTTAACAGAAGCACTGCGGGAAGCCACCCATTTTTTGGGTCTCCTGCAACCCATCTTGGTTGGAATACTTGCAGAAAACTGGATAATAGGCATAAGGTTGAAAGGATCAAAGAGTACCGAATCCATATGAGTGGGAGTAACCACCGAAGGACCAATGTGATTGCCAATCACTAGAGTCGCTCGTATACAGGGAAGAACCACGGTGGAAACTCCTAACGTCGAAACATTTGGATATAACGCAAAAAACAACGGAGAACAAGTAGCATCATCAGAAGATCCAACATGGCAACGAAGAGACTCGATCCCCTCAAGTACAGTGGGGCGACGTGGCAGAGACGGGAAGGAGAGAGAATCCTCAAGGTCATTCCGATCCAAGAAGACGATTGCCAAGACCGAGCATCCAAACTACGACGGTCACCCGGGCCATCATTATTCCAAATACCATCCTAACTTGAGGAATGACTGGGGCTCTTATAAGAAGGTGAATTGTCGAGTAGCGGTGTGCCAAAGTACCAATAGATTTACCCTGTAAATTGGTGTCACCCTCTAAATCAACAAAAATAGAGGCAAACTTGAAAAACAAATTCGGATTGAGGAGCCCATGAATAATTTCATACTTTGCAATACACACCTAAGTAGGATGACGGATTATGACGCACACAAAACAATATTTAGGAAGATATTTATACCTAAACTCCACCATTTTCTCTCCCACCTCGAAAAGGTAACTGGTGTCCATCGAAGAAGAGGTTGTGTGATGTCAAACCACACGAATACTAATAAAAGGCCCTACACAATCAATACCATCACGATTATCCACCCAAAGAACTCTCGCTGGCCCCAATTGCTTTAGCAATGGCGACAGTCATACAAAAACGAGGAACACCATGGAGCTGAACCCAAAAGTGCTATATGACACAGACATAGAATGCATAATCCCATCATCCAGGAGGTCTGCTAACAAAATCAAAGAGCATCGAAACACCCAGGGCTCCATATCAAGGACTCGTTTTTTTTATCATAATCACAAACAAAGCGCACCCAAAAGCTGTTGGAGTCCATTTCCTTGATAGAGACATTTGCAGAGCCTTTCCAGAGTTGTGAGAAGAGGTTATGATGAACCTATTGCGATTGATAGGTTGATCTGTAAGGACCTTACCTACAAGACCATAAATGAATCCAACAAAACTATCAAAAGTATTAGAAGAACAAATAATCACACCAACTTGTCCACGTGGCATGAGAACCAATTGGCTCCCAAAGGACAATTCAATATCAGTGACGGTAGCATCACGATTAGAGGCTAGAGAAGACATAGAGACAATGGCAGGAGCTAAAAGGAGACCAACCCCAGTCGCAAGGAAAAAACCACCAAAAACCCCCAAGACTCTACTGGAAAAACGAGGGGAGGTAATGGCGCGAGAGAAAGCCAACACGAGCGCACTAGACCCAAGTGTACCGAGAGAGCGTGGAGGATCAAATGATACTAGGGCAATGACAACGATGGGATAAGGAGAGGAGGGCAATCGTGATGATGGCAGTTGGCTGAAGAGACAAATACCAAAACCTAAATCTAAACCCTAACCCTATACCGAAGACACATGTCCCTCGTCACGTGCGAGAGAGAATCTTTGAATGGCACTGCAGGTTCAAATAGAAAAGTTCTTTAACTTTAGTTCTAGGACTCCGATTGTGTTGACCAATAATACTTTCGGCTTTAATTACTAAGAGAAATATTTAAAGATGGATGAACATAACAAGGTCATCCTTCATTGTGTGACTGTACGCGGCATGCTAGCACCATAGTCAGAAGTGGTTGTGGGTGCAAAAAGAGTGATTAGCGACTTGATCTTGGCTTTGTCAAACATTTGGGGCCGAGTTAGGAACGAGTTCTTGGCGGTTTGGTTTTTTTGTCTTGATAACAAGACTTTTCGGGGTCGTTTGGTAGGGGACTATCATGAACTGGATTAAATATTGGTATTGTCTTGGATTGGCTTGGCTTGGCATAAGCTGGATAACACTTGTACAACATTTGGTGTATGTTTGATTGGACTAAGACTTTTTTTTTTTTTTTTTTGAAAAGTAAGATTTTTTAATATTTTTTTTTACTTTTCTTCTCTCTCCATCTCTTTCTTCCTCTTTGCATCTCGTTTTTTCTTTTTTGGACAAACCTCTCTGCATCTCTTTCTTCTTCTTCCCCTCTACATATCTTTCATCTTCTTCTTCTCCATTTTCTCTTCTTTTCTTCTGTCTACTTTTCTTTTTTTCAAAATTTTCTCCCATTTTCTCTGTCTTCTTCTAAAATTTTCTCTCCTCTTCTTCTCCATTTTCTTTCTTCTTCTCAATTTTTTTCAAAAAATTTCTCTCATCTCTTCTTCTCCATTTTCTCTGCTCTTCTTTGTTTCGTTTTTCAAAAATTTTATGTTCTCTCCTCTTCCTCTTCTATTCTGTCTTCTCCTTCTTGGGTGGTTGTGGCTGGTGGTCATGGCAGGTGGTCGTATCTGGTGGTTGGGGATGGTGCTTGTAGCTGACGCTTGGTGGGTCTTTGGTTGTGGGGCGATTGGGTGCGGTTGCTAGTTGCTTGGGTCATCGAGACTGTTAGTCCCTCCTCTCCAGACGGGTTTCGCTAAGAACACCTAAGGAGGTGTTTTTGGTGGGCCCAGTATTAGTTAATCCCACTTAAAATTAGAACCAGGTGAAACAAACATGGGATAAAACTTTAGCCAAGCTAGTCCAAGCTTGCAGGTGTAACAAGCACGCCCTTCGAGTTGTGTTTTGGAGCTATTGTGCTTAGCTGCTTTGTCTTCTTAGAGGCTTTTTGAAAACAAAATTGAATCATGAAAAGCTCTGACAAAATGGATTGGATGGTGCTCAAAAGAGATTGTGTTAAGAACAGAGCTCCTTGTTGATATCTTGAATGAATGATAACAATGATGATGCTGAAGAACTGTAAAAAAGTTTTCAAAGAACTTGATGATATGCTACGTGGAATCTGAAAATTAATCGGTCTCCTCTCTTTTCGGTTGAGATGCCATGTAACACCCCGACTCCAATTATTTTCCTATTTTAATTTAATTAAGAGAAAACATTAATTTACTCTTGGGTTAAGGGTAATTTTGGTCAATTTCGTATCCGGGAAGATTTTGGGACCATGAGTGG